CTGGAAAGCATTAGATACAACGCTTCTCAAGTCCCACATACCATTTCAATGACACTCCACTCAAGCTATCCTAGAAACAATGGATAAGAAACTTGTCATTCTTGGAGTAAGCAGTCATCTTGCAATAGTAAATCACTAAATGGATTCTTGGATAGGTATGCCCCTTGTATTTTTCAAACTCAGGAGTCTTAAACTTTGCAGGAATAACCAGATCAGAAACTAGGCACATGTTCTCGGCAACAATACCAAAGACATCACTTCCTTCCATAACTCTCATCCTTCTTTCTAAAGTCAGATACTTCTCGCAGACTTCATCAATCTCACTTATATCCTTGTATTTCGTTTTGAGAACCAGTAGTGGGGCACTCGAAGAGAGGATTTTTATAAGCAGTTTGTGTAATAGGATGCACAAAAGGTTAAGGAGCATTATGAATAATTGGTTGAGTCTAGTAGTCAAGGGAAGCTGAACCACATGTTGAGTAGACCAACCTATTCCTGGAGTAGCTTCAGGAGGAGTGTAGTGAGGTGGTAAACCAAATTCAGGCTAAGTAGTAGCTGGAATTTGAGAAGGTTGAGTATCAACAACAACATCCGAGTCTTTAGATATCACATTCCTTTGAGGAGACTCTCCTCTGACAATCAGAACTTGCATCATTTCAGTAAATCTAGTCATGACTGACTTTAAATCATTAATCTCCATTCTGACTTCCATGTTATGCTGCTCTTGATTTTCTATTCTTAATATGATTACAACTCTAGTTCCATAGTTGTGTCGGGGAATCTGCTTGACAGTAGACTAACAACTGGAGATTAAGACATACAAAATGAGTTCTCTAACAACTTGAATGAATGAAAATGTATGCGAATTAATGCAACAAAATATAATATTAAAAATGCAAGAGATGAAACGCATCGTGCAAGATTCAAAGGTAAATCCTCAAATAGCACGGGGAAATTTTAAGGTCGGAAAAGTTGTAAGTTAATGTCTAACCATTAACTCCTCACAGGTAAGCTCTATGAGTTTTGGATATACAAATCCTCACCTCGTAAATATTATCATCGATTGTAGTAGACTTACAAGGTGACAACATTTCAAAGAGATTCCTTCTGAGTGGTCCAAAGAAACCACAAGTTCAAAGGTGTTCTAAAGATCCCTTAGAGTTATGGAACCTTTATCCAGAAGTTGATGTCCATGCACTAACATACGAGACAAACAACCCCCTTAAAAAGATTAACTTTAAGGTGGGTCTTCATTTTGATCTATAAGACACCGATGTCCCATGGATCTAAGATACACAACCACGTACTAACTTAGGTGCACTCAAGCCTGGGTAGTGAGATTTTTCTCATAATATCAATGATCCAATCCAGAAGTCCCACACAATGAATATATCGATAGGATAATAATCAAAGCATTAGGAAATAAATGACTAAAACATAAACATAAGTAAGAAATAAAGCCCAAAGAAGAAAGCAAAGCAAAAAAATAAAAACACAAACACACAACTAACTAAACTAGAGTGGGCTCGCTTTAGGGATGGGTCCCCAGTGAAGTCGCCAAACTGTAGCGCCTCGAAAATATTATTCGATTCAATAAAGTCGCCACTGACATTTTTTTATTCCAAGAGGAAAGGGGAAAATATCGAATAAAACCCACAAGAGAAAATAAATGGTCTTCGAGACCTAAGAGATGGTTTGGGAGTTGGTTATGCAAGGAGAAGGTATTATAACCCCTCACATCCACTGTACTCGATGGTACGCATTTAGTTACTTTGTGTTCGTGTGTTAGTGTGAAAACTTGCAATCTTCTAATTATTAAGAGAGAAAGGAGAAAAGAAAGGGAGGAGAAATGTTTTTGGATTTTTTAATATGGTTCTCGCCAAAGACATCGCATCTTGTGCCTACGTATTCCCTCGTGTAATAGGAAAGTCAGAGCGACATAGTTTGGGTAACAAATGTTAGTTTGTTGGCTCTTTTTAGTGAGAGATACTCGATCACATTCAAAAGGAAACATTGCTACCTGAAACATGGATAATGGAATGATTACATCACTTCAACAAAGGATGACTGAGTTTGGATTATGCACGGACTCTTACCATCATCGCATTCGAGTGGAAAAGGCTTAACATTCACATGTGTAAGGAACGTTGCTTCATCATCGCGAAAGGGCCAGAAAATAACCCTTATTGAAAAGGTTTTAAATTGAAAAGGCCAAGCGGAAAAAGTTTTGAATGACTTTAAGATTGATTTTTATATGTGGGTGACAAGTACCGAACAATATGACTAACATCCTACGTTTCAAATACTAGAAACTAGAGGAGCATTGAAACTCAACGATTCGTCTCTCATCCCAAAAAGTTATCTTATGAAAATGTGAAGTAAAACAAGGTTCACTCTTATTAGGTTTTTTTTATGCGATACTTTAGATAATAGGTTTAACAACCAATGATCTAAGTTACCGCAATTCATAATGAAAAGGTTTTTGGAAATCAACTCGACGTTGGATTGATATTTGAAAATTTATTATGAAAGTGTTTTGAATGCTTGGTGAATGGATCAAGAGAAGGAATGAATCAAGTCTTTACTAACAAAGCCACTTGGCTTGATTAACCTCAAGAGGAAAGGCTAAGTGAAGACAAGTTAGGGAAAACATATTAGGGGTCCAAAGGTTAAACAAGGAGTAAGAGAAAATATTTCATTTGGTACGATCGTGAAAACATTGGAAGAGCAGAGGAGAAAGTTAGGACACGAAGAACACAAAGGAATTTCAGTAGATCGTGAAGAGAAGCGACCCAAGATAGGAATCTAAGGTAAGGGGGGATGATCTGTCATTATAATTAATATGGGGTTTAGAGGTATGTCTGGATTTGTTGGGGTTTTGATAATTTGATTATATGTTGTATTGTGATGTAATTCTGTTGAAATTGATGGAAATAACATGTTGAATTGTCATGAGTTTGTGTATATAATGTCTATAATATTGTATGGCTATTATATGATGATTATGTGTTGAGAACTATGAGAATATGGACTGTATTGGCATGAAATCGCAAGAGGAATTGGGACTGAGCAAGTGAAGAATCGCAACAGGAAGTTTCTATCTGCTACACATTGTTGGGTGAAGCAATGCATCGTCGGGAGATGCAACGATGCCTGGTCGTCGCTGGGAGAGATGAGAAGTGAAGGAATGGGGAAAAAGTGGTGCTCCTAGATTTTGTATGGAGAAGGTTGCTTCGCTCACGCGTCGTTGGGCGATGCAGGAGTGAAAGGTGTGTCGCCAGGCGAGCAAGAAGCTTCACCGGGTGATGGAGACCAGAGTAGAATGGTGGTGATGTCGCTCCCATATCCCCAAGCGAGCCTCAGGTGAGAAGACTGCTTTATCGGGTGAGCACCAGGCGACGAACATCAATAGGATTTTTTAAAGGGCCATAACTTTAGTTTTAGAGCTCTGTTTGAGGCTTCGTTCGAAGTGTTGGATAGCTAACACGATGAACTACATGTTGGTGGAATAAAATGAGTAAAAAGATGTATATTCCCAGTACATAGGCTAAGGTAGACTTAGATTCTTAATGATGTAGTCTATCATGATGTATATTGTTATGATGAATTGTGAATACTATGATGGTAATATGTTGTGACTATGATATATTGAATGATGTTGATGATTTAATGAATGATGATGTGATTTGACTAGATGTAGTCGTTTGATACTTTTGTTGTTGTGCATCATGCATTAATGGCATAGTTTGGATAACTTTGGTCCGCCCATGTTGATATAGGACGTTGGTCCAGTGTTGGCCTCAATCCCATTGTGTGGATTGAGTATGTTGATGCTGTGCTTCGGTTCCAAGAGGGAATCAATCCTATGGTAGGGATCTCTAGAGGGTGATAAGTCTAGTACTCATAACAAATTGGTACCACATGCATGAGTCTAAGTTATTGCATTATATCTTATGTGGAATTGTATAATTGTTTACTAGATAGTGTTATATATGTTATTGTGCAAATTGACGATGTGTTGACAATGTTGTTGATTTTGATGCTATGATGTTTCTGTTTGAACTACTATGTCTATCCCGTATACCTTTTGTACTGAACGTGATTACTCACCCTTTTTATTTAAATGTTGCCTCCATGTGGGTAACGCGCAAGTGATCAGGAGTAGTTTGTAGAAGCTTAGAAGATAATTTAGAGTGTGTTGTTTTCTTTCCGTTGGTTTTAGAAGGTCTTGCTCTGAAATGTAACATTGGGATCGGGAACGCTTGATTTTGAACTTTATGTTCCTTTGTTTTATTATGAGATCTTGAACTACCTTTCATGGTATTTAAATTGTTTCGTATTATGAACCATGAACAACGAAGTTTTGATGATGTATTTAATAAAGACGTTTTGAACTATGAACTTTGTTGCATAGTAAATGTTTAAAAATTGTTTGAAAATTCATGTTACAGAGTAAGACATGAATGTATGATGTTTTATGAAGCATGTGATACCTTTTTGCTGAAATACTCTTATTGTTTAGTTATATTAAGACAATATTGCCATTGTAAGACATTGTGCTTAACATGTCACTTTCTACAAAATTGTCTTGATCACATAGAGACAGGATGTCTCATAACTTGGCAGAAAAATCTTGTTACACATGTTTCCTATAAAATATTGCCAATAACATGTAATGACACTTATCTGATTCCTTTTACCATAAAAAAAATCAAGACTACAAAATAAACCCTAAGTGTAGGAACAAATGAGCTTTCCCACTTTAAAACCTATAAGCCCAAATAGACATATATGGTGTTTTTTTCATAGTAAATAGATACATATTCAAATTTCAAATGAGATGTTAAATTTGTTTCGGACTTACAACCTAGTAATTTAGTCATCAAGACAATTTACGTCGTGACCAAATATCAAAAGTCGGTCGCCACTGTTCCACTCATTACATATTTAATTAAATAGTAGTGTTGACCACTAAGTGAATGTTCAAAAAAAATTATTGGATGTTAAGTTCCTCTAGTGAAGTCTATGCCATGATAATCTATAATATAAGAAAGTCAGATCTATTTAAAAATCCAATTTTATTCTTTTGTTCCAAAATCACAACACGTGGCTTCCTGCAAACATACCTCTTTGTTAATCCAAATATCTATTCTTTTCCATCATTCCACTATTCCACTACCAGTCTCCCCATGTTCTATAGTAGTTACAACCATCAATAGTGGTTTGAGAAACATTTTAATTCCTCTGTCTCATATTCAAAGGTCTCTCTCATCCTTTTTCTCTTTCTTCATTTCCTAATTTCTCTATTCCGACTATGAATCCTTTTCTTCCTTCAGTCACACACCCATACACTGTTAATTTCTTAGATCCGACATTCTTCCTGTTCTTCATTCTAACCTTTTTTTTTTTCGTGAAATGATCAGATCATGAAAAGATGGTTCTTCATCATCTTCTTGGATTGTACTTTCTTAGCAGTGATGGATGACCTCCATTTTTTTGGGTGACGGTGGTCGGAGCTGAAACGCAAAAGATGATAGTTATGTTTTTCGGTGATGGATTTATTGTCGATGGTCGATCGCGATGGCCGGTGTTAATTATTCTGAAACAAGTTAGGTTTCAACTTTACTTTTTCTGATTTGTCGGCGGTAAGTATTCTTAAACTTTATCTATCAAATACTGTTGCTTTCCTGACATAGGTTATCTATGAAATTTCTAATTGTTTACGCTAATAAATTTTGTTTTCTTCTATTTCTCCCCGATTCTAATTTATTTGATAAAGAGATTGGAGTTTATACTCATGGTGAAGAGGAGAAAAAATAAGGTGAAGAAGGTTCATTTTTACTATATCTCTTTTATGGTTTTTCTTTAATAATATTTAATTGTGTTTGAATTAGAGGGGAGAAATATGCTTCCGTATGGTATCAAATTAGAATTTTAAATATTTTCTTGTAATCACAGTGGAAGTTTTTAAGCTAGAAAAAGTGTTTTAGTATATTTTTCCCACTATTTTGTTCCCTTAGAAGTTGTAGCATCTCAACATTTTATTGTGATTACAAATCTTGGTTGTTTAATTATATACCTAATTATTATGGGTAAGTAACAATGAATTTTTTTAATAGATTCAAGTGTAGTTTACTATAAAAATTTGGAAGAAAATACATGAATTTCTTGTTTTATACATTTTTTTTGTTTAAAAAATTGTGTATTATATGATGTATTTTGCAGCAAATGTCTTTTCTTGAAATAAATATAAAGGAATAGTAAATTTGGGTGTTTTTCAACAATGGTTTACAATCCATTGGTGGAATTCAAGATAATTTTCTTTATTGTTTTACCATAATTTTCTTTATTGTTTTACCATAATCTTTATTTTGTTTCCATTGGTATTGTATGATCGTGTAGGTAAGTGTCTATTACTCCCTCTAGCATGTTAAAGATTCTCTTTTTAAATTTATAGGTCAAATATATCAGTCACTCAATAATCTTAAAAGAGAATTTTTGTTTAAAACAGTGGTGATCGGAGAGAATATTGTCATTGCAGTTACTGTCATTGTAACAACATACACACTTCATTTTAATGGTAATTATTTTTACTTGTAATACATCCAATTGGATTTGAAATTGAAAAAAGTTTGGAAATGACAAAAGTAGTTAGAATATACTAATCCTCTGTGCACTTGTATGCACTTGTATCCTCTATGTTGAATATACAAAAGTAGTTACTTTAGCATTTACATTTCATGCTATTTTTCATTTTTGTTCACTTGAGCATTTACTTTCTTTTCATTTTTATTTTGCTCACTTGAGCTTTTTTTTAAGACACCTAATAATCAAAATGAACCATAAAAAACTTTAATGATACTTGGAATATTTGGTTACTATCCTTGAAATGATGGAGTATTGAACTTCTTGGACTTAAGATTAGAAACCTTGGCCTATGTTGGAGACCTTATGATCTTAATTGATATTTTGTCTGGAGTTCTTGAGGTTTACTCAAGACATTGAGTTGTTTGTTTGTTTTGTATGCAGGTTATTGTGATTACATTCTTTGTTTGTAATCTGGAATTCACCTGTATACAACTGTTATTCTGCCCAATTTTTTTGAAGACTTAATACACTTGAAGTTTAGTTCTCTCAAGAGGTCTAGTATCTTTTCTTGTTTGGTTTCAATCCAAAGAATGAGAATTTTTCTCATAATGTCAAGTATTGGCTTCTTGTTGGTTAGATGGTTCTTCTCCTTATCTTTTACCTTATGCTTTAGGATAGTCCCTTCATCTCTTCCCATCTTCTTCAATTTCAAAAATCTTCTTCCTCCTTTTGAAAACTCCTCTTGTTTCTAAACCTGAACCACTTTCATAATAAACTTGGACTTATGTCCATGCTTTATTTCAAAACATTTTCATAAATAAATTTCAATCAACTTAATAATATCTTGACATTTTTTTTTGTGAAAAGACTAAAAATCAATCAATCTCATTTCAAACTATTTTTCCACTTTTACTTTCTATTTTAAAACTTTTCTCAAAAGATTAGACTCTTGTCAATCTTTGTAGTAATGCAAATAACTATACTTCTACAATATGTAGTGAAGAGATATATTTTCCACTTGGGTGTTGAACGAGACATTGTTGATTTTAAAATCCAAGCCATATCCTTCACTTTGAGATGATGAAAATTATCCTTCCTCATGATTGTGGGTAGTAAGTATGTTTTCTACACGGACAATAACGATAATGTCTTATCTCATAAAATCAACCAACACAATTATGTTTTAAAAATTTCTAAAGAGGAACCACGTGTACCCTGATCCCCCATTACACGAAAGGTGGTAGATTTTATGGAGATCTACAACTTTCATGTTGGAAGTTTCTCTTGAATCACTTTTCATCATGGTGAAAACTTTGCTCAAAGTTATGGAAAAAATAAGAAATTTCCAACACTTAGAAAAATTTCAAAGTATAGAAATTTTAACTTTTCAAAATGAAATCTTGAATTTTTTGATTTCTTGATGAATAAGTTTCATATTTTGACATGCTTTGGTGAATTATGATTTTTTACATTTGATTTTGACCAAAATGTCAAAGTTTGACTTTTCAGTATACAGTTGACTTTTAATTAGTTGACTGAAAATGCATCTGTCAATCCATTAGGCTTGAGCAATGTTTTGAGCCATGTTATTAGGTAAAAATGATGCAATTGGACTCTTGAGATCATGCCTTAAACCAATTGATCATTTTCTAGGTCAAAAATCAGAAATTGCCCTTTCTCAATCAAAACCCTAATTTTGACCATTTTGCCCTTTTGATGATTTGATCAAATTTCTTGAGGAATTATGGTCCAAACTTGATAAAATGATACATATGAGTTTAAAATGTTGATGTAGATAAAAAATTATGAAGTTTGACTGTAAATTGGCCATAGTTGACTTTTTCCTCAATACAGCTGATTTTTAGGTCAATTGCTCAATTGACTGAGCAAAAGTGTGATCCAAGGCTTGAAACTTGTCATGAGTAATATTGAGGGTCCATACTGATCCATGAAAACCATATGGGTAATTGGAAGTTCAAACATCCTTGTGCAATCTCAAACCCTAATTTTGATCATCAGTGCTTAAGGAGGTGTCTTGAGCTGATCAACCCTAATGCAGTCTTGAGTCAAAGGAGATTTTGTGAGCAAATTCTTGATAAATGAGAGGGAAACTTTTGGGGTACAACACCTCCAACTTCACATTATCAACTAGAATTCACAACAACAATCACAACAACTCAACATAAGTCAACATTGGCCATAAGTCTATCACATGAATCAATGATTCAGTCATTAACATAATCAAACAATAACTTAACAATAATTTCACACAGCACTGGCAACGACCAAAACACATCATGTACGAGCAAAAAGGATAGGGAATCACGTGCCCCTCGACATGCATAACAAATAGGACATCATAACACCTAATTTTTACTCCTCGACATGCACTGAGAAAACAGGGCAACGACCGACCTATACTCCTCGACACGTCCTACAGCCTAATTCTGATCGAAAATCCAACGTATCATTCCCTGACACGCCTCGCAGCCTAAAATGCTGCTCGATACCTACCTCTTCAGTATCCTCTCCGACCACTAATTCGGCCAACAACATAGGTACGATACAATGTCTTAACGACCACACCACTATAATTTATAACTTTCGGCCAACCACTAAGAGTAACACAATAAAGGGAAACTATATTCCTATCGACAAATTCATCAACATACAAGACAACACACAGAACCTCCCTAAAATGACCACTTAAATAATTTACCAATTTTCCTGCCAATTGCTCGGAATAACCTAACGTCCTAACGACCATCAAAACCTAACCTACACTTTGATTAAACCGACAGTCACACAGATAACTCAAAACGTCCACAACGCATAATCAGGAAACTTCCTAAAACGGATTCATTAAACCGTCATACGGTTCTTTCCAATGGCCACAACATGAATAAATGGGCAACTTCGCTAGTAATTCAGAAACATCCACGCACAACAATCATAAAACAACCAATTCCCACAAAATAAACATCATAAGTCCCATTATAAGGTCAGAACCTCACCCTTACCTAGATTGAAGGTCGCTCGACCAAAAACTCTAGCCAACGGCTTTGCTTCGTTTTGCTCGTCACCGGGCAACTTGCTTCTCTCTCCGTGCAACTCTTTCGGGCAACGTACAGGGCTTATTATTCTCCAATTTAAACAAATCCTTGTGTCAGCTTAGCCTCATATATCAATCCTCTTGGGCATAACCTACACCCCCACTTTACTACTTCCAACCAACAGTCTAAGTCCAACATTATTTCATATATTCCCTTTAATTCCATAATATAACTATTATTAATCAACTAATTAATTAATTTATAATAATTCAATAACTCCTAAAAATAATTTTTAACCTCATGCAACTTCACAAATAATCCAAAAATAATTTAATTAAATAAGTAATTAAATTAACTTACGGGCGTTACACAGAGGGATGACCCTCATGACGCGCTTGTCCAAGGAATTTTATTTGACTATGAGAATGATGTCCAAGGTTATCGTCAAAGATTTGTACGAGCTTGGGGCATGGTGAACAAAGTTGATAGAAAAACTATAGGGCATAAGAACTCTATTCCATTGGAGCCTTATCTCAAATGGGTGCGAGCCCACGACCAAAGCCTCATGATGTTGTATC